TGGTGCACTACGTGCCACAAGGTCCCCAAACGACCCTCCGCAGGTTTTGAATTCAGAGTTGTCCTTCTCCTAGACCAGTTGCCATCCAAGGCTATAGAACCCAGTCTGTCCTGCTATTTAACCCATAGCTGGAGGGAGAAGAGGATTCATGTAAGTGAATGTAATGGATTCGAACTCGGCTCTCCGATTCCTCAATCCAAGCCGCTATCCATTACTCCACCGTGCCTCCTCCTCCTGTCTCTCTCTCTCTCTCTCTCTCTCTCGCCCTATATATATATATATATATATATATATATGTGTGTGTGTGTGTGTGTGTGTGTGTGTATATATATATATATATATATATATATATATATATATATATATATATATAATGGAGGTAAAGAAAAATAGGAAACGTTTATCAATCTAACATGTTTCAATTTCATTAAACCGAGATAGACGAAAGACTGCATTATACCATCCGGGCAAGCTACTGCTGAGGTTGAACGCCGTATAGGAACTGTAAGGTCCGCAATCGTGCGTCTCAAGCGGTCACTATGGGGACGACGGGAGATTTCCACGGCTACGAAGGGGCGCATCTATCAGGCTATTGTTCGGTCTATCCTTCTCTATGGCTGCGAAACGTGGCCACTTAGAGCGGTTGACCTATGAAGGCTTGAAGTGTTCGACAACGATTGCCTTCTCTACATTCTACGATGCCGCCAAATCGATCGATTGCCCACAGCCACTCTACGTCGTCGCCTGAGTCTCCGTCCTCTTCCACCCATCCTGCTCCAACGTCGTCTCCGATGGTTCGGGCACGCAGCTCGACGCCCGGAGGGAGAGCTCATCCGCGATGTACTTCTCCCTCCTTCTCTTCCTGGCTGGCGAAAACGTGTCGGTGGGCAGCTGAGGACGTAGGCTAGCACAATCAAGGATGACCTAGCATTACTATCGGGTCCACAAGTAGTTGGTCTTCGACGATGGAATCGCGATTGGCTCGCCATTTCGTGTGACCTGGCTCAGGATCGGCGAGCGTGGGCAGCGATGGTCCGTGATGCTGTACTTGTTCGGGAGGAAGCCGGTTCAAACCGACCAGAGTGAAAACCGATACAAGACAAGAAGGTGGGGGAAGAAGAATTTCATTAAAGCTTTGTCAAAGACTGAGTCTCAATAATGAGGAAAGAAGGCTATGAAAATTTGACACTCACAGGATATATAGAAAAGAAGGACATTGGAAAACGGCATATGACCTACTTAGCAAGCTTGTGCAAATGGACGGCAGAACAAAGTTTAGGAGTGACAGTAAAAAGACAGAATTTACTGCAAACTATAAAAGACTGGAAGGAACACGACACATAGAAGATCACTTATCGCCATATTTTTTTTTGTTTCTGTTACGGTTTTTGGGGGTATATATCGTATATAACTAGTGAGCTAGTCAAAATGACTTATTTCCATTTATAGTTGACCAATCAGAAGCCGCAGAACACTGTATCCGTCGTGTATAAAGGCGGCCATTTTTGTTTTGCGACTGGAATGACCAGAGGCAACTTGTCCGGCGAACAGGACAGACGGAAGAACTACGCTCTCCTACCTTGCTGCGATATCCACTGCAAACCTGAACTACGCTTTCCTACTGTCTCCGAAATATTCACTGCCAACCTCTGGATTCTATACTCGAAGACGACCGTCATGAAAATGTCTAACAGTTTCCGGCACCAAAATTGATTTGTTGACGGATATTTATTTTTTAAAGTTTTCTTAATTGTAAAATTTTGTTAATTAACTACAGCGTTTTAAGTAACATCTTTGTCCTAGTATCGATTTTCTTCTCAGATTTTCTTTTTAGATAATGCTCTTACAGAATGAAACGTTAACAACAATTTTTTTTTTTAAAAGTAAACATCTCTTTACATGTATGCATAATTTATTCGAATATTTCATATCAATCATTTTCCTTGATATGGGCGAATTCTATAAACAGCAGCTGTCAGCTATTCATTAATGAATAGAGCACTCTGGCTGGCTGGCGTTTATTTACATTCATAAAAACAAAACACTGGTATGCGACATTCTCTCTGCCTATGGATTGTAGGTAAAAACGCTGACTGATACCAAATCGATCGGGTTTCGATCCTAGCTTGAAGGATTCGGTGATCTTGTCGAATTGATGAACAGCGAAACAGGCCTGTATGCGCATGACATTATATGTACAGGGTGTCCATAAAGTTCGTGTGCACTTTAAAAAAATTATAACTTTATTTGTATTTGCGATAGAAATAATCTGTAAAAAACGTTATAAAGTTTAATGTACCTAGTTTTAAAGTATAGTTAAAATAACTAATGTGATTTCAGGCATTATTGTAAATCAGTTGGCAAATGTTTTCCTTGAACTGCAAAATCGTATTACCTTTGTATTTCTAATGATGGAGGACATGTGGAAACTTAAATAAAATTTGAATAAAACCTTTAAAAATATAGATTTACTTCTTTCTAATCCTTTTTACAAATTATTTCTATCGCAAATACAAATAAAGTTATAATTTTTAAAGTGTACATGAACTTTATGGACACCCGATATATATATATATATATATATATATATATATATATATATATATATATAACAGAAGACTTTTATGCCAACGGCTATATAATACATCTCATTTTCAATCGTGTGGTCAGTTGACCTGAAACCTAACCTGAACAAAAAATAAAACTATGAAATCCGTGTATTGAAATATATTGTAATGTATTTGTCTTTTTGAAATGCCTATAGGATTTATAAATATTGAATTCTTTTCTTCCATTGGTTTAAAGCCAAAAATAATTAGATAAAACTTTCCCAAATATACATAATATATATACATCTCATTTTATATATATATATATATATATATATATATATATATATATATTCAAATCCTTTCATGCCAAACAAGGTCAAAACCACATGATGCAAGGGGTTACTGAGGTTAGAGAAAAAAATGAAAATATAATATTAAGAGAAGATTACGATTCCAACGTAATAAATTATAACCATGGAATATTAGTGTTTGAGCCTTTTTTATTATATTCTTAGCGTCGTGGACATTGAGTTTGTCGTTCTATCCTCTTGGGGAAACACAAACACACTATATATATATATTATTATATATATATATATATATATATATATTGACTTTGTCCGTGTATTGATTAATATATTATAATGTATTTATATATATATATATATATATATATATACATATAACAAATGTCATCTTTTTCTCCATCAAGACATTCATTTCTGTAACCTACCAGCAAGCAGAAATTAAAAAGTCGAGGAATTAAATAGGATTAAAGAATATTAATATCAATATTTTAATTTTTAATCTTTTTTATTGTTTAAAAATTAATATATATATATATATATATATATATAGAGAGAGAGAGAGAGAGAGAGATTACGTAAAAGTAGATTGATATACAGAAAACATTTCTAAATTATTTAATAAAATATAGATAGATATCATAACAGAAAGATATATATATATATATATATATATATATATATATATATATATATATATAAAAGAACAAATAGGAATCGTTTATCAATCTAACATGTTTCAATATCACACGAGCTTCGTTAGAGAATGAGTCTCAGTAATGAGGAGTATTGTTTTTCAAGATTTTACAAGCATCAAATTACAGACAAACAAAAATTAGATCTGTTCTTTTTTTAGATTTTTTTTTATTATATTTAACATCGGGAGATAAGTGTACGTTCTAGGGCGCATAATGAGGAAAGAGGGCTTAGGAAATTTAATACTCACAGTACAGTTTGAAGATGAACAGAGGGATTAGGCATAAACTACCTAGCGAGCTGAAGTAAATGGATGGCGGAACAAGATTGAGCAAAGATAGCAAAAAGAAAAAATATTAAGAGCTACAAATGACAGGAAGTTGTGGAGAGCCATGATTTCTAACGCCCTGAAGGAACACGACCCATAGAAGAAGAAGAAGAAGAAGAAGAAGAAGAAGAAGAAGAAGAAGAAGAAGAAAACCTATAGGTTAAATTGCGGAATAAACTAAGCACTGTAGTCTAAGATGGCGTCCAGTCTAGTAGAAGAACTACTCTGAAACCAAAACGAGGAAAGAAGGATTGGAAAATCTAATACTCACAGGACAGATTGAAAGCAAGGGGGACAGAAGAAAACAACGTATGACATACTTAATAAGCTTGAGAAAATGGATGGCGGAACAGCGTTTAGGAGAAATAACAGAGAAACAAAATTTATTAAGATTTACAAAGGAGAGGAAATTGTGGAGAGCCATGACCGTCTACATCCTGAAGGTATACAACAGATAGAAGAAAAAGAATGAGCTTGAGTAAATGAATGGCCGAATAAGATTTAGGAGAAATAAATAAAACACAAAATTTATTAAGAGCTACAAAGGACAGGAAATTGTGGAGAGCCATGATCGCCTACGTCCTGAAGGGATATGGCAGATAGAAGAAGAATGGATGGCTGAACAAGGTTTAGTAAATGGATTTATGAACAAGGTTTAGATCGCCTACGTCCTGAAGGGAATAACAGAATGAGAGAGACAAAAGGTTTATTAAGAGGACAAAATTTATTAAGAGGTACAAAGGACAGGGAAATTGTGGAGAGCCATGATCGCCTACGTCCTGAAGGGATACAGCAGATAGAAGAAAAGGAATGAGCTTGAGTAAATGGATGGCTGAACAAGGTTTAGGTGAGATAGCAAAACGACAAAATCTACTAAGAGCTACAAAGGACAGGAAATTGTGGAGAGCCATAACCTGAAGGGATACGGCGCATAGAAGATGAAGAGGAACCATGACAACATAAGTATTTCTCCCGTTGATGTGCCATGTGCATTTATTTCTCTTCGTTGTATAACAAGCGAAGAAATGAAGGCGTGGTTTTATGCATTGGTTGTAAAAACAATGAGTTACGTTGTAATCAGATGTCCATCATATCACGTTTCTTTACACGGGCGCGCCAATGTCGCCCCTCCTTCGTTGTCTATCGACATCTTTCTTTTATAATGTCTTATATCTAAGTCTATGTCTGTATGTGTGTAGGCAAGTCTTGCGTCCATTTTTTTTTTTTTTTAATTTTCTTTTTATCTTTTCCTTCTTGCTTTCTTTTTCATTATTTTTCCTCTTCTTCGTGTCTCTTTCTTTCTTGAATTTTCTTCTTTTTTTTTTTCCATCAATTCTTCACTGTTATTTTATTTTATTTTTTTAATTTTCTTTTATTTTACTTTGTTTTCTGCAGATTTCTTTCTTTCGGACATCGTTTTTGATTCTAAGGCTGTTTATAACAATCTATCTATCTATCTATCTATCTATCTATCTATCTATCTATCTATCTATCTATCTATCTATCTATCTATATTTATTTATCAGTCAGTTCATTTCTTCTTACCTGGTAACCAACTAAATGCATCTATATATCTATCTCAAACTGTTTCTATCTATCTATCTATCTATCTATCTATCTATCTATCTATCTATATCTATATATATATATATATATATATATATGTGTGTGTGTGTGTGAAAAAGAGAGAGAGAGAATTTGTTAAAAATCTCTCTCTCTCTCTATATATATATATATATATATATATATATATGCCTATCTATCTATCTATATATATATATGAATTTGTTAATTATCTACTTATTATCTATCTATATATATATATATATATATATATATATGTATGTATGTATCTATCTATCTGAATTTGTTAATCATCTATCTATCTATCTATATATATATATATATATATATATATATCTGAATTTGTTAATCGTCTATCTATCTATTTATCTATCTATCTATCTATCTATTCATCTATCTATCTATATATATATATATATATATATATATATATATCTATTCTGTCTATCTGAATTTGTTAATTATCTATCTATTTATCTATATTATGTCAGTTCATTTCTTTTTACCTGTTAACATAGTAAATGTATCTATATATCTACCAATCTCAGACTGTTTATATCTATCTATCTATCTATCTATCTCATGCCGTCTGTTTCTATCTATCTATCTATCTATCTATCTATCTATCTATCTATCTATCTATTTCAGTCTGTTTCTCTATTTCATTTGGTCACGTCTGTTTTTCTGTCAGTTCGTTTCTTTCTTTTTCTTTCTTTCTTTCTTTATCGCTTATTTGCTTTCTATTTATCTATCTCGTCTGTTTATTTGTTTCGTTTACCTACCTTTCTGCTATCTATCTATCTATCTATCTATCTATGTCTAGCTTGATGTCCGATCGGAGTCCGGCAAAATGCTGCAGTCTCCTCATAAACTAAGGAACGCATTGTGAGATCGGAAAAAGGTGTTAGAAAAAAGGAAATAATCTCAATTGCGATGTAATATCAAAATGTCAATGAAAATAAATAAAAAGTGATGAATTTCTATGTAATACCTAATGCCCGATGTAGCAGTGAATGTTGGACAATCTCTTCACTGAAGAAGATAAAATACCAGGCAGCAGAAATTCGGTTCTACCGTAGGATACTGAGAATGCCATGAATGAGCAACGAGGAAATCTTGAAAGATAATAGCAACAAATTAACACTTATGCTAAGAATAAGGTAGAGACAGTTGAAATTTCTTAATAATGTGGGCTTGGAGAAATTAACCCACCACAGGCCATATCGAGGACAAGGGGATCTCCCCTATCTGCGGAATTTATGTGAAAGGATGATGTAATGGTGTACAAGGGATTTATCAAAGGGAATTACACTGTTAAGGGCCCCAAGGAATAAGAGGCAGTGGAGAGCCATGACCATCAACGCCCTGAAAGGACACGGCATATAGAAAAAAGAATATGTATGTGTTATTGGGTGTAACTGCGCCTATGTGAGTGTAGATAAGTGCATGTGCATATGAATATTTATGTATATGTGTGTGTGTATAACGTGCTCGCGTGAAATCATAGATGTGCATCTTAGCAATCCAGCGTAATAAACATTTCATGTGAAACATGCATGTGCAATTTTTTTTTTTTTTAAGTAAAGTTATTTTAAAAATGTTTCACTTACAATTGTCTAGTGAGCAAATTCTTTCTCTAAATGGTTCCTGTTCCATCAGTAATGATTAATTTAAAAAAAAATGGTATCCGATGTCTAAACGTAAATCTCCGTTCTTAAATAGTGGGGGTTTGACAGTCTTCAAATTATATATGTCTTCCCTGGCAATTTTGAAACATTGAATTCAATAAATATTCCTCCAAAGAACTTCTTTGTAATATCCAATGTCCGATGTGGCAGTGAATGCTGGACAATCTCTCCACAGATGAAGAGTAATTATTTGCCGAATTCAACAATTTAACCTGTTTCATTTAACAAGCCGAAATTGATCAAGAGACAATCTGAGAAGGTAAATCAAAGTGATGCAGATAATTTTAAGCTATTCTGGAAAAAAGATATATATATATATATATATATATATATATATATATATATATATATATATATATATATCTATATATCCTGACGATACTCCCAGTTTTAGTCACCGACTTGTGTGTTCAACACTTGGGACATTTTCCGTGAACCGATTTGTTCGTTATGAAAGATATTCGTGACCCGATGTCCCACATTTTGTATACACAAATATATTAACTAATAATACATATATTCTTATATATAATATATTTACAGAATTAGATAGATAGATAGATAGATAAATAGATAGATAGATAGATAGATAGATATGAATAGGATGAGATAGATAGATAGATAGATAGATAGATAGATAGATAGATAGATAGATAGATAGATATTTAAAGACTGAAATAGATAGATAGATAGATAGATAGATAGATAGATATTAATAGGCTTAGATAGATAGATAGATAGATAGATAGATAGATAGATAGATAGATAGATAGATAGATTAATTAATTAATTAATTAATTAATTGATTGATTCTAATGGTCAGTTCTATCTTGGTTTTCAACTAATGGTTAGTTGTAGGTTCAAAATGGTGTCATAGGTTTCTGGTAACATCGTCCATATCGGCTGCATCTTTCAGTTTGTTTTTCATTATTACAAAGCTAATGTTGCCTGCAGATAACAAATATGATTTCCGGAAATTTTCTGTTTGAATCCTTCAAAGTGGTTTCAAGTCGGGAGGGTGAATGATAGCCAATAACAAGAGAATATTCTTTTCTGACGCCCTCCCTAAAGTGTGAGAACGTCTTACGAAAAATCACGTTACGGTGAGTAAAACCTAATTTCGCGGCAAAAAAAAAAAAAAGAAGAAAAAAGAAACTGAATGAAGGAAGGAAGATGGAGAACGACAGTTGTCTAGTGATGAGCTGCGTGGGATGAAAGGTTAGGGTGGGATTTCTAAAATCAGGGCATGTAAGAGATTTATGGAAAGAGTGAAAGAAAGAGGGAAGAAAATGGGAAAAAGTAGAAAGAAAGAAAGAAAGAAAGAAAGAAAGAAAGAAAGAAAGAAAGAAAGAAAGAAAGAAAGAAATGAATGAATAAAGAAAGAAAGAAAGAAAGAAAGAAAGAAAGAAAGAAAGAAAGAAAGAAAGGATAAAGACAATATGAAAAGAAAGAAAGAAAGGCAGAAAGAAAGGAGAAGGACTACGTGAAAAGAAAGAAAGATATGGAGAAAAAAGAAAGAAAGAAAGAAAGAAAGAAAGGATAAAGACAATATGAAAAGAAAGAAAGAAAAAAAACGGATAAAAATAAATGAAAATGCAAAGGGAAAAAGAAAAAACTAAGGAAAAAAATGAATTAAATAAAGGGTAAAATGAGTGAGAAGAAAGAAAGAAAGAAAGAAAGAAAGAAAGGTAAAGAATTACATGAAAAGAAAGAAAGATACGAAGAAGAAAGAAAGGAAGAAAGAAAGGATAAAGACAATATGAAAAGAAAGAAAGAAAGAAAGAAAGAAAGAAAGACAGAAAGAAAGGAGAAGGACTACGTGAAAAGAAAGAAAGATATGAAGAAAAAAAAGAAAAGAAAGAAAGGTGAAAGAAAGAAAGGAGAATGACTACTTGAAAAGAAAGAAAGATACGAAGAAAAAAGAAAGAAAGAAAGAAAGGAAAAAGAAAGAAAGAAAGAAAGAAAGAAAGAAAGGAAAAAGAAAGGAGAAGGACTACTTGAAAAGAAAGAAAGAAAGAAAGAAAGAAAGAAAGAAAGAAAGAAAGGAAAAAGAAAGAAAGGAGAAGGACTACTTGAAAAGAAAGAAAGATAGGAAGAAGAAAGAAAACACAAAATGAAAAAGTAGTTATGAAAGAAGGGAAAAGAAAGAGAGAACATAACAGGAAAGAAAAAGAAAGAAAGAAATGAATAAAAATAAATGACAAAAAACGCAAAAGGAAAAAAGAAAAAGAAAAGAAATAAGGAAAAAGAATGAACTAAATAAAGGGTAAAGTGAGTGAGAAGAAAGAAAGAAAGAAAGAAAGAAAGAAAGGATAAAGACAATATGAAAAGAAAGAAAGAATGAAAAAGAAAGAAAGAAAGAAAAAAGAAAGAAAGAAATGTAAAGGACTACATGAAAAGAAAGAAAGAAATCTTTAATCTAAAGACAATATGAAAAGAAAGAAAGAATGTTCAAGATTACTATTTCAACCGGGTGATGGTCTTTATCAGGTAACAACGTGTGAGAATATCAACACAAAGCCTTTGACGTACAAAATACTGGCCCCCGGGCAAAGACCGTTATTAAATCGCAAAGCTCGTTGCAGCTTTCAGGTGCACATATCAGCGAGCCACTCACTAGACGCGCAGACACGCAAAACCCCAGTTTCAACCAAATATCATCATGATTTTTTTTTGTCGAGGGTGAAAAACAAAAGCGAAAGATGTCTTAGTCTGTAAACTGTTAGTGAATAAGGTCAAAGAGTGACATCTTAATTTTAACGCTCCCAAAACGAAAAATCTCTCTTTTAATCATCTGAGAGAACTCGTTTTACCTTCCATCAGCATATGGCTGATGCTAATCTTCAGGAGTTTCACTCAATGCGCCTTCTCAGACAAACGTTTTAAGAGTATGGTCAATCAATTTTTAAGTCTGCAGTCAGTTGCTTCACTAATTGGCACTAGGCATTTTTTTTCTCGACAGAATCTATTTTACGTACCTTAGAATATTGCTGCCACATATGGTCTAGTGCTCCTGCTATATATTTAGAGACTAGCAGCATGGCCCGGCGTTGCCCGTGCTTGATTCAAAAATCGTACGACTCGTACAGCAATCGCTATCACTTGACTTAAAATATTTTTGCCCTTCCTTGCTTTTAAAGGAGTGCCCTTTGCCGTGCTGATGTTGCTACATACCTTACTTCTTGCCTATCCCACACTGCGAATTTTTTCTAAGCTCTATACTAAACATTAAATCTGTTACGAAAAAAGAACTAAACAAAATGAACACAAGACGATCAGCTTTAAAAAAAAATCGTAACTGGAAAAACTGAATGAAAAAAGAATGTTAACAACAAATACTTTTTCACACCCAACCCAGTTCTGCGGAATCAGAATCAACGTTAAGTTTAAGCAAGCGAATGAGCCAATTGGAGTAAAGTGCCATGCAGATTTAAATTTTTCCCACTTGTGACGAATGCAGCTATCGATTTTTTCGCATGCTAGTTAACATTCGTGTCAGTCAGCTGTTGGCTCTCATGCTGGCCAATAAAATCTTCCTGCCTATTCGTGGCAGCCAGCTATAAGCTCTCACTCTGGCCAGTAGAAAATGGCCGCAGACTACATGAAAACTGCCATAAAAGCATGAAAAATCGATTATTTCCACTATCGATGGGAGTTGGGAAATGCAAAGTCAGTCTTGGCCTTCCCCGCTAACTTGGAGCATGTGCATGTAAATTGTGCATGCAAATCCGTCGAAAATCGCGGCCGTGCATTCGTTACACACACACACACACATACTGCCTTTTATAGATAGAGATTCTTCGTGAAATCGATAGAAGAATCAGCAATGTTATTGGTCCTGACCTGGCATCTCGGCTTCTCTCACTTTTCCGCCGCCGTAACGTAGCTTCTCTATACCTTCTCTATAAATACTTTCATGGTAATTGTTCTGATGAACTTTCCTCTGTGGTAGCTAGACTTTATGAAATTAAGGGCAGTATTAGATTGGGGGCAACGTCTAATCATGTCCATGATTTGAATATTGCCCTCACATCTGGTTTGGTGCTTCTGTTATGTATTTAGAGATTCTTGATAAAATCTAAAGAAGAATCTGCAATATTATTGGTCCTGACCTGACATCTCGGCTTCAGTTCCTTTCCCGCCGCCGTCATGTAGCTTCCCTGTGTCTTTTCTATAAATACTTTCATGGGAATTGTTCGGATGAACTTTCGTCAATGGTACCTAGGCTTGATGAATTTAAGCGCAGTACTAGATTGCCCTCCGGCGGAGTAATGGATAGCGGCTCGGATTGCGGAATCGGAGAGCCGAGTTCGAATTCCAGTCGAATCCATTACATTCACTTACGCGCAAATACCCTTAGGAAATGTATAAATCCTTTTCTTTTACCCCCAGCTATGGGTAAATAGCAGAACAGACCAGGTTCTATAGACTTGGACGGCAACTGGTCTAATGCAGAAAGGACTGGCAACCTACTGCGGGAAAAAAAAATTCTGCCTCGTCAGTCATGTATCGAAAGATACATGATCGTCTAAGCGTGTATCACGCATGGCACATACCTGACTGTCTAGATTGCCCGCAATGTCTCATCTTTTTACAGCTGAAATTATTTGATGCAACCATATGTTCTATGTTAACAGCTTCTTCCATCGCAATTTTCACTTGTGGGGCTCACTTCTGGCATCTTGCTTCCCAGTCAAATGCGATCTTCAAAGATCTAAATGCAATGTCGATCGTTTATTTACTGTCTATTCCTCTTCTTTTTTGTTCTCTTTCCTTAATAATGTTTTTCCCCTTTTTTCTTATTCTTTCACACTCAGTAACCTCTTGTGCCTTAGTGGCTTTACTGCCTTGCTTGGTGTGAAATGATTAAAAAAAAATGGATCAATTTCTAATCGAAGTGATTCTGACCATGATTTAGATGTTAAAAATGCTATTTTAATTCAAAGAGAAAGCGACTTATGAAAGTATATAGAAAGTGCTTTAATCGCTAAATCACCTACAGTAAATTTGCGTCTGGTTTCTTACGGCATTTCACTTTTCTAGGCAGGTCGTCTATTACCACAATGTGCGACACTTAATGACAAAATATAAACCAAAACAAAATACGTGAAATTGGCTAGACTGTATGCACGAACAGATACTTAAAAAAAAAAAAACTCAAATTTTAAAATTTCAGCTCTCTCTTTCCTTCTTGCACATGTATAGTTACAACAACGTAAACATGAATTTTGCCAAATGCAGATCTAAAGAAGAAACGAGTCACACACAAAAAATAAAATATATTTCCACTTTGTCCTTCACTTTCCAAACAATATATATATATGTGTGTTTCTACATTCAACACCATCACTTGATAAGACCAGAAGTGTTGAAACAAAATGGCTATTTTTGTAGTGATTTTATAACATATTTATGTTATAATTTTCGAATAAATTATTATATTTGCTCTACTTTGTATTGAGCACTCTTTTAAGAATAGTATTTGTTGCTTATTGGAATTTATTCCGTATACACCAACCCTATACTTGGTATGCTTTGGTTTGTTTTACGGCATATCAACACCTCAATGGGTTATTTAATGCCGACAATATTTTTATTGCTGGTAAAGTTTTTCTTCAAAAATCTATTTCTAGGAATATTTTTCCTTGAAGAAATCTATAGCTGGTAATATTTTTTTCAAAGAATGTATAGCTGTTTGTATTGCTCGTACCTTTTTTTTAAGTATTGCTGATAATAATTTTTCCTTCAAAAATTATTGCTGGTAATATTTTTTTTTTATTACAAAGTATTTCTGGTATTAAAACCTATTTTTACACAAGTTTGGGTAGCAACTATTTGCCCACAGCTGAGACCCTAACAGGTGCTACCACCCAGGGTCAGGGTGGACCCGGGAACACCAACAATTAAGAGGTGGTTCCACGCCCTCAAAACCTCCTGATCAGAGTCCTTGCTGCCGGATGTAGTTTATCGTCTTACCCAGGACGTGGATGTAGTTTATCGTCATACCCAGGACGGCAATCCTCTACTTGAGTATATATATATATATATATATATATATATATATATATATATATATATATATGTATGTGTGTGTGTGTGTGTGTGTGTGTGTGTGTGTGTGTGTGTGTGTGTGTGTGTGTGGAAACGTTTCAATCTCATCAGGTGTAAGACACGTAGAAAAAGAGAGTGCCACTCTATTTAATCATTTCTAAGATGATGCCCTGCGCATTTACATACACAGACGTGAAAGGATGGATATTGATTATATTTTAGCGTTCCATACCACATGCCAAATGAATTTATCAATAGAAGCCAACAATCCTGCTTTCTCTCCCGTGGTCAATGTACTGGTGATAAAGGATGGGGATTATGCCGATGACATAGATATTCATAGTCGGGATAAGAATGATCTTAAACAGAAAATCAACATCCTGTATCAAGTGTTCTAAGAAATCGAACTCAAGGTAAATCAATCTAAAACAAAATCCAAGATCTAGAACTGGAATGAAAGCAGTGATGGCACATAGCCAGAAACCATCATTTAAATTCCAGTATGTTGAATCAGTAATCATCAAACACTTCAAATACCTCGGCGTATGAATAAGTTATAACAAATTTAATATAGCAGATAAAGAAATTGAAGCTAGAATAGGCTGTGCTCGAAGTAGTTCCTGCTGACCATATTTGCCGTAGTCTCTGAATATGAAATCCAGTGAAGTCCGTAATCTGTTCAATATCAGAGGTTGGCAGTGTAGATTCGGAGAAAGTAGCGGCTGTTAATTATTTAAGTCTTCAATATCAGGTTGGCAGTGGAGATATTTTGGGGAAAAAACAAAATGGCTGCCTTTATATCGGATTGAATATTTTGAGCTTTCTGATTGGTTAACCCTTCTATTGGTGAACTATAAAATGAGTCAGCTCATTTTGGCTAGCTCACTAGAACACACAGGTATAAAAAAAAAACTGTAACAGTTTCGCCCAATACCGCCAATTGCTACCTAACTGAAACACCTCATTAAATAGACAGGTCAAATCGAAATTTTAATATTGATGCCATGCATGGCGCCAAACCCGTTTGGAAATATCTAAACTGTCAACCGTATAGGACCGGTTTCTACAATCAATGGTTAAAAATGGCTTCCAGCAAGTGAAGCCTGCGGGTCTTGGCGAAGCCTACACTTGAAGAGGTCAATGTTGATTGGTAATGTTGATTGGCAGTTAGCAAAAGAAAGAACAAAAAAAATAAATAAATAAAATAAAATAAAAATAAAAAAAGAAACCTCGATACTTGAGGAGTTTCAAGCAGCAGCATCAGTTGAAATTGATATCACATGTAACTGTTTGATATTCCACACTACTTTAAATAAAGATTAGGAAGGAAATCCCCA